TCTGAGAAAAACAAATCGGAATTGTATTATATATATATATATATATATATATATATATATACCCGCTATTGTGAGAAAAAAATAGTCTGAATTGTGAAAAGTCCAATTTTAAGATGTAAACTCGCAATTTTGAAAAAAATAAAAATTTCCAAAATGTGTGGAAAAAATTTGTAGGATTATAAATTCTGAATTGTGAGATAGAAAGTCAGAATTACGAAATACAAACTCGACAAATTACGAGAAATAAATAAAATATTAAATCAAAAGAATTGTGAGGTATGAACTTAGAATTCAGAGAGAAAAGTAAAAAACTGCGAGATGAGATAACTTGGAATTGCTAGAAAAAAGTCAGAATTCTGAGTTTATATCTCGTAATTCTGACTTTTTTCCTTAGAATTGTGAATTTATATCTTGTAATGCGAGTTGATGTCTGAGTTGATTGTTTGTTTTTTAAGCGGAAACGAGCTTCCATGGTTACAGAGAACAACTTTGATTAAAAAGCATCATGTCAGCCTCAGATACAGCATCAATTTAAAAAAAAAATTTTAAATATTGAATGTGTAAAATGTTTATTTCTTATGTAAATCTGACATCTTTTGGGGTCTTATATATGATGGATGTTTCAGGTTGTCTGGCCTGTTTCAACATCAAATAATCAGCGCCCTTGTGTATTTGTTTTTCAACTGTTGTCCTGTACAATTTTCTGTTTAGTTGAACGTTTGATCATTTTGTTTGTTTCGTTTATCCTTGCTGTTTCGTTTTGTTTGTTTTCTCTGTGCACATAGACGATCCCCACGGCTGTTTTTCTGTCCCATCATTCACCTTTATTGTAGAAAAATGTTATTTAATCACCAACACACACCTTCCCATCAAAACTTTCCCCTCGCTGGTTGAATTTGTGCCATTTACGTTGCATATGGAAACCACCGTCACTTATTTAAACAAACCAACAAATCCATCAGACCAGGATCAAACTGTGCCATGATTAACTAGTACGAATAGACCGTTTTAGTTTTTCAAGGAAAGCCAAGCAGTGACATGTACAGTAAATGTTGGAATGGAATGAAAATAAATCTTGCTGTGTGTAAATTATTCAACAATTAACTGTTTATATGAAATTTATGAATTAAAAATTGAGATAAAAAATGACTTGCAGTTGTGTCTGTTCCCAAGATAATAAATGGTTTTATTTGTACGTTTAAGAGAGATAAAGGCAACAGTCCTTAAATGCAAAAGAACAACCAAAATCAAAAATTGACATTTAATTTTCCAAAAGAAAACAGAAATTAATGAAAAGTCATAAGGGCGAGTAAATTATTTAAAATGTATTTATTTAAAGTTTTTAGCTGTTATTTAAAAACATTGTAAACCTGTAAATGTATGTTATTTTTCTGAAATGTTTTATTTTCTTGCACCACAGAAAGCACCTCTTAAAACGTAAATATATCATATTAAAAACTTTTGGAAAGTTCTGACATGCCTTTTATGAATAGATTTTCTTACCGTATACTCTATACTTACATCTTAAACTATGAAAGTCGGTTGTTGTAAAAATATGACAACTTAAGATTGTTCCTAACTTTTGGCTTCATTTGACATCTTTTCTCCATAAAATGTCATTTCCATCATCATTTCCATATCAGAAGATACGATCTGAAATGTGGTAAAAATGACTCTGGTGGAAATGTTGATGATTTTCAGAAAAATTACAGAATTTTCCTGTTTATCATGTATTAAACAGTAACATTTTTGTTAAAGAAAGATCAGTTTGCTCCAGTATTTATTAATCATTGTAGGCTAATAAAAAAATGCAGTTCAAGTCAGCTCAGGTCTATTAACTTTTGATTTGAATGTGTTAGTAAATGTTAAGAGTAATATTTACTCTCACAGTTTGTCTCCCAAACAGTGTTGGGCAAGTTACTCTGAAAATGTAATCAAATTACTGATTACTCCTTTTAAAAGTAGGCTAATCACGTTACTGTTCTGATTACTTTATTTCAAAAGTAATTAGTAATTAGTTACATTACTAGTTACGTTACTTTTTTCTCCATGAAATTTATGAAATCCCAGCATACACGCTCCCGATAAATATTTATTAAAGCATCAACATTCACAGAACACTATTTTTAACTAAAGCAAGCGGCTGCTGCGTGCATGGTTTGGCATGGCAGAATGCCAGCAAAGAGCGCTGCATTTATAATCTCTAAAAGACATCTCAGTTCAT